GATCCTTCCGCCTCAGCCTTTCGAGTAGCCGGAATTACAGGCATGCGCTACCACACCCGGCTGATTTTTTAATTTATTGTAGAGATGAGGTCTCGCTGCCCAGGCGGGTCTCGAACCCGCGGGCTCAGGCAATCCACTCATCTCAGCCTCCCAAAGGCGTGGGATTACAGGCTGAGCCACCAAGCCCGGCTCATTAGCACTCTTAGCATATTAATCATAATTAGTTTAAATTCTCTGTCCAACAATTTTTAAATTTGTGTCATGGCTGAGTCTGGGTTTGATGCTTGTTTGATCGTTTAAGAATATTTTTTTCTTGCCCTTTCACATTCCTAATGACTTTCTGTGGAAAGTCAAACATATTGTATCCTGTCACAGATGCTCAGGTGAATAGGCTTTTAGCTTAAGAATTTACGGTAATTAGACTAGGGGTTTGGTTGTATTTAATATTGTTGTAGCTACAGGTATGAAGGCCTCCAAAGTCCTTGTTTTGTTTCCTCTCTTGGTTGTGGGGCTTCTTTTTGTATTGCTCCTTAGAAAAAGCCTGTGTCTTGCAACTCTTTTGGCTGTAATCCAGTATTATTACCCTGGAGGCTCATTGGTGGTAAAGTATGGAGAAGGGAAGTATACTATAAGCTAAGTTTTGGACTCTCAATGAACCTATTCCTTGGAGGTGTAGTGTCCACAAGTATTTCTGTTCCTACTCCAAGGGTATAATTTTCTTATTCCTGCCCTCACTTCTTTCTCTAACAACAATGTTGCCAATCCAATTCTTTAAAGCCCTGAACACTGCTCTAGTCTCTCCTAGTTAACAGAGGAAGGTTGATGCTAGGGTAGAATTCCTTTTTGCTAACTGAGATATAGTCTCTCCCACTCCTGCACCCCATCCCTAGACTAGGTCTTTGTTAGAAAGAAGAGACTGTGAGTATTTCAAGGTGGTTGTCCTTTCCCTCCCTAGCCAGAGCCACTAGTACCATATATCTTTCTTAGATCCTCACTGAAAGAATCTAGTCCATTCCTAGAATTCCCAGAATTCCATATAAGGGGGCGGCCCTCCCTTCTCTTGTGACTGTGATCCCCCAGGAATTGTTTACTCTCACACAATTGTTAACCAGTGTAATGCCCACAGCACATAGCTAAATTTCCACCTCAGGCTAAGTCTGCTCATCTTTAAGAAACAGAAAGTCCAAAAGACAGAATTCTCCTCTTGATCAGAGCAGCTAAACTGATGGGATCCAAGATGGCAGCTCACTTGACCTCTGAAGAACCTCTAACCTTTTTGTAATAGAATTTCAAAATGACACTCCCACCAGTGCCATGACTGTTGACAATCACCATGATAACAACCAAAAGAAACCATAAAAGGACAGTAGAAAGGTGGCACTCAGGTTCAAAGAAGTTCACTGCCCATTCCCAGAAAAGACATGAATATTCCTCCTTGTTTTTAATGTCCACCCTCTTCATTAGAAAAAACCCTATTTTTAATTCCCTCACCTCCCACCTGGTGAGAAGTTGATTTGAGAACCATGTTCCTGTTTCTCCACTTTGAGGCCATAGAATTGAAGCCTGTCCCATTTGACCTCACTTTCAGTTTCTTAAACTAGCTTTGTAACACTTGGCAGGAAAGAATTCCATTTTGGGGGCCAAGCCAACTTTGTCAGTCACACTAGTAAGCATTCAACCTTCAGCAATTTGTGAAAAAGAATCATTTACGTGTTCCCCTAGCTACGGTAAGCAAATCTTGGGAGATACATTTCTCTGAATTGTCTCTCTCCCCATCTCAAGGTGGTTTGCCCTGTCATCTCAGTTTTCTGATGAGTCCAAGAAAAGTTGATAATGTTCAATATGTCCAACTTTTTCCTACTACAAAACAGGAGTAATGACTTCTAAATTCTCTATGTGTTGGAGCTGAAACTGGAAGTCCATCCCCAGATTTTTGTTCAGCAGGCCTAGGTGAGGGTCTGAGAATTTGTGTTTCTAACAAATTCCCAGATGATGCTAACACTACTAGTCTGAGAAGTACACTGTAAAGAAGAGGTTCTCAAGTAAAGACTGCACATTTCTTATTACCTGGACATCTTTTAAAATTTTTGATGAGCAGGCATCATCCCATAATTATTAAATCAGAATTCTGGGCATGCAACCTAGGCATCAATATTTTGTAACACTCATTTAGAATCACCTGGGAAAATTGTAAATATATTTGTATCTAAAAGAATATTAGAGCAGACTATACCAGTTTGAAAACTGTTAAGTTTTCAGGAATTTTGTGAGCCAGTTGTTGAACACAGCCATTATTCAGAATTAAATTATATAAGCTTATAATTAAGTAAATTAAACAAGTCAGTTATATTTACATACAACATATTAAAAACAAAGAAAATAATTACTCAAGACTCATCACATCCCAATTATGATATTAAATTTTACTACTCTCTAAGCTCTTGTGGTTATTTAAAATATCTACTGAAGCTGGGCTCGGTGGCTCAGCCTGTAATCCCGCGCCTTGGGAGGCTGAGGTGAGTGGATTGCCTGAGCCCGCGGGTTCAAGACCCGCCTGGGCAACTTGGTGAGACCTCATCTCTACAATAAATCAAAAAATTAGCCGGGTGTGGTATCGCGCGCCTGTAGTTCCAGCTACTTGGAAGGCTGAGGTGGAAGGATCGCCGGAGCCCAGCAGGTCGAGGCTGCGGTGGCCGGGAGCGGCCATTGCACTCCAGTCTGGGCGACCGAGTGAGACTCCAACTCAAATAAATAAATAAATAAATAAAATGAAATATCTACTGTTATCTGTGTGGTGGTGTGTAACTAAGGATCTGCTCCCAACTTCCCATTCAGGAATTTTATGTTGGGAGTTTGAAACCTGCTGTGGTGAGAAGATTTATAACATGGAAATTGGCAAAAGCCACACATGAGGGTATTCCTTGCCCCAATACGGATAGTGTAACATTTACTAGCATACCACTGCTTAGGCCTAAACCCTGTTCCCAGATATCCCAATTCAATTTGCCTGAAGTAAGACTCAACCCTGGGAATTTTTTCAAGGCATACCAGATGATTTAAATGTACATTCAAGAGAGAGAAACAAGGGGATATGTACAGTGGCTCATACCTGTAATCCCAGCACTTTAGGAGGCTGAGGCAAGAGGATTGCTTGAGCCCAGGAGTTCAAGACCAGCCTAGGCAACATAGTGAGACCTCATCTCTACAAAAAAAAAAAAAAAATTAGCTGGGCATGATGGTACATGCCTGTAGTCCCAGCTACTTGAAAAGCTGAGGCAGAAGGATCACCTGAGCCCAGGAGGCTGAGGCTGCGGTGAGCCGTGATGCCACCCACCACTGCACTCTAGCCTGGGCCACAGAGCGAGACCCCAGACTTTAAAAAAAAAAAAAAATGTGAACAGCAGTGTTCTGGTCTAAAAAAGCCAGGTGGTAGAAGTAGAGTTGTTTAGGTGTCATTACTTTTAGAGGATGATTTTGTGGTTAGAATTCATCAGCAACTGGCCAAGATGATATACACATCTATATTTTTCCTTAAAGCTTCTGGAGGTGAATTTGTGTTACTTGTTTTTGTTTGTTTTTGAGATAGACAAGCAAAGGAAGACTTCAAGGCAAATCATTACATTACATAAAGAATTAGTCTTTATCCTAAATATACATTCTTTGAAGGGTTCTTAAAGCAGAGAAGGATGTGATTGAATTGTGTTTCTAAAAAACCATCCTGGATACAGTTTGAAAATATAGATTGGAAGGTGGCAAGAATGTATATACAGAAAGCTGGGGAGGTAATGACAATAATCCAATTCTCCCTGCCTCCTTCTGAGAGAAGGACCGTGGGTCTCTCCTGCAGCAGACATTGCTGTTTGGTTAAGTTTGTATTCTTAACCCCCTTCTCCCTTCCTTTGCCTCTTTCCATTAACAGAGGCTGAGAGATCAAGCAGTTAACTTTCCCAGCCTTTCTTGAAGCTAAGGATGGTCGTAACAAGTTTTGGCCAATGAGATGAAAGCAAAAATACAAAGGAATAGGGAAAACGTTTGGGAAATGTTTCACTTCCCCAATAAATAGAGACATGACTGGTGCTACCGCCTTTTTCCTTCTTTCTGCCTTTAATGTGAATAAAATGTCCAGAGCTGGGGAAGATGTTTCGAGACCATGAGGCAAGAGGAAAAGGCTTTAGGAAAGAGAATAGCAAAACTACCAATCCAGATACTAACAAAACTGAATTAAAAAAAAAACCCAAAAGTTATCTATCTCTTATCTTCATTTAATGTGGGAAAAATAAATATTTAAGTTCATGTTATTGGGTATTCTGTTACTTGTCAGAAGCATTCCTGTTCCTTCTCCTAATGCCAAAAGAGAAGAGCTCTTAATTTTCCAACGTCACAAGTATCCTCCCAGTTTCTCATTATCGTTAAAAGACATCCTTATTGCACTCCAAATCAAGTATCCTTCAACAATGTAACCATTTCTTACAGCACTTTTGATCATCCATTATTTCCTTATTCTTGTATCTTCATTTCCACAATCCTTTCCATATCCTTATGTTCTACCCTTCGCATGGACTAGGCTTTCCCTGGTTCTTCTCCTGACAAATAACTAATTATCCTAAAAAACCCAATTCAAAAGTCAGCAATATTTTTTGTGAAGTTTTTTTCTTTTTCACCTCAAAGGAGTTAATTACTCTTTCTAAATGTTCCCATCACACTCAGTGCATGTCATTATGAAATTGACCAGAAATATACCAGAATTATTTGTCTCCCAAGTTGAAGTTGAGCCTTAACACACAACCAGTGGTTCCTCAGGCTGATGATTGAAGAATCACCTTGGGAGCTTAAAGAGAGAGATTCCCCTGGTAGAGCTCATGTAGCTACTTCATAAGCCAACATCTGGGAATCTTTACCATACTTCTATAGTAGGTATGAGTATATTAATAATAGTAATAAGTCTATTAATTAAATAACTAATGGACTGTTACTGAAATTAAAAAGTACATTTTCATTACCTGTGAAACTGGTCAATTTTTCTCGTTTATAGGATGATTCTTCTAGGTCTTCTGCTATTGATTCAGTTGTTGATGCACTGGACTTGGAAACTGTACTGCTTCCTAAAACTGACCTTTAATAATGAATAACAATGTTATCATCTATTTAGATGTCCTTTATAGGCAATAAGATATATAAATTAGAACATATTATCAGATGGAGAAATCAAATATGCAATGATCATATAAACAAACAGATCAAATAAATTCATTTTTTAAATAATGAGTTGATTCTTAATGCTCTTTATAGAGAGTTTCATCAACAGAGGATAAACATGTCAAACCTATGCCTCTTCAGTGTTCTTCAATGAATTCCCAATACATTTAGTACAAAATTCCAAAACTCAGCCTACCAACCCAGCCTCCTCAGCTTTGTCATCACTCTCCCTATGCTTTTTATTTTTAAGTTCTTCAATCTTATGGAGCTTTTACTTCAGGGCCTCAGGCAGGAATACTTCCTTTCCTTTCATTTTTCACCTGGCTTCCTCTCATTGTTCGAATGCCATCTTATTCAATTTTAGTAAGGCCTGATTCAGATTTAATTTTAAAAAATACATGTACTCAGCAAGAAATCAATGAAAGATCCCCAAAATAATTTCCTTAAACATATGAACTTAACATTACTCCACGATGTTAATACTTTTTATTTCCTTTCTATTTAGCTTCAACTGCTCGCCAAGAGTGTGTGTCTTGGAATGTCCTTTGTTTCGCTGGGCATGCTCCTGTGTTTTGTATGCAATTCCAAGGCAAGCTCTGTAGCAGCACATAATTGCTGTGCATTAAAAATCAATCGTTAGGAGGATAGAGACATGTGTGGGAGAACAGGGAAAAAGGAGAGCCACCCCTTCCCATAAAATGCAGCACAAAAGAAGCTGAAGAAAACAGAAAAAAAATATGTCTGACAAGAATTTGTAATTAATTATATGTGACGTTAGTACCATCTTTTTTTACTCAGGTAAAAAAAATATATATGCGCGTGCGCGCGTGTGTGTGTGTGTGTGTGTGTACTCTCTCACCAATACTTGTTGTGGGTGTACAGGAACTCAGAAGATATGAAGGGCTCTGCATCAAATAAAAACATCTCTGTTTCATTAGATATGGCACACTAGGATGATAGATGGAAGGTGGAAGGAGACTGGAGACAACTGATATCTAAGTTACACAGATGCAATTTAAATGGAGAGGTTATATATATATATATATATATATAAAACATAGAAAAGAACAACTAAGTATACTCTACCTTGTAAACTGCCCTAACATATTAGGATTTGTGGTATTCTGATAAAGGGTATAGGAAGATATGAAGTCTGAGCCAAGCGATCCCTCCTGTGATGTAAAGAGTTTATTTGGCTTCGCTGGCCCAGTCTGTGGATCTGGATGGTAAAGGGGTCGAGGGGTAACATCAACTCCATTTATATCCAGCACCTGTGGGAAATGGTTATTTAAAGTGAAATGACTAAAAAAGTTGAGGCTTCTAAATAACAGGTCTTAGAAAACAGAAATAAGTATCGTAGAAAAGAGTAAGTATAATCTTCCTATGACAGGATAAACATGAATAACTGGATGATATAAAATTTTATGCTTAAAAAGTTTCTTAACATACATTTTCTTAAAATCTTATTCATGTTTACCTATATATATAAGATATAGGTAAATAGATACATACAATTTTCTAGACAGTTTTACTCTGTCATATAGGTTGGAATGCTGTGGCAGTCTTGAACTCTTGGGTTCAAGCAATCTTCCTGCCTCAGTCTCCTAAGTAGATGAGGTTACAGGAACACACCACCATGCCCAGCTAATCTATCTATCTTTCTTCCTTCCTTCCTTCCTTTCTCTCTCTCTCTCTTTCTTTCTTTTTCTTTCTTTCCTTTCTCTCTCTCTTTCTTTTAATGTAGAGACGGGGTCTTGCTTTGTTGTCCAAGCTGGTCTCAGACTCCTGGCCTCAAGCAATCCCCCTCCCACTTCAGCCTCCCAAAGTGTTGGGATTACAGGTGTGAGCCACCGTACCTGGCCCTATGTATAAGTAATATACATTAACTTCAGGAAAAATCAGAGAGCTAGAAAGATAATTCGTCCAGATTGTTCATATTCTGGTGTATTTAATATTGTATGTAGGCCAGGTGTGGTGGCTCATGCCTGTAATTCCAGCACTTTGGGAGGCAGAGACAAGAGGATTGCCTGAGCGAAGGAGTTCGAGACCAGCCTGAGCAACATGGCGAGACCTCAGTTCTACAATAAATCAAAACATTAGGCAGGCATGGTGGTGCATGCCTGTGGCTTCAGCTCCTTGGAAGGCCGAGGTGGAAGGATCACCTGAGCCCAGCAGGGCAAGGCTGCAGTGGCCGTGAGCATGCCACTGCACTCCAGCCTGGGCGACAGAGTGAGACGCTGACTCAAAAAAAAATTGTATGTATAAACTTCTTTAAAAACTCATTAACAAACATTTCCCAAGTTATTTTGTAGCTTTGTTTTACAACCATGCATGCAAAACAATTATTTGGTCAACAACGGACCACATATATGACAGTGGCCTCATAACATTATAATGGAGCTGAAAAGTTCCCAACACCTAGTGATGTTGTCGTCATCATAATGTTGTAGCACAACGCATTACTCATGAATTTGTGGTGATGACGGTGTAAACAAACCTACAGCCCTGCTAGTCGTATAAAAGCATAGCACACATGATTATGTATAATGTATAACATTTGATAATAACAAATGACTATGTCACTGGCTTATGTATTTAATACACTTTTTTTTTAGTCGGAGTCTCACTCTGTTGCCCAGGCTGGAGTGCGGTGGCACACTGCTCACGGCCACTGCAACCTTGACCTGCTGGGGTCAGGCAATTCTTCTGCCTCAGCCTTCCAAGTAGCTGGAGCTACAGGCACATGCCACCACGCCCGGCTAATTTTTTTTTTTTTTAATTGTAGAGATGAGGTCTTGCCAAGTTGCCCAGGTTGGTGTTGAGCCTGTGGGTTCAGGCAATCCTCTCACCTTAGTCTCCCAAAGTGCTGGGATTATAGGCGTGAGCCACCGTGCCCGGCCATTATACTTTTCATTGTTATTTTAAAGCATACTCGTATTTACTTGTTAAAAAAAAGTTTAGGCTGGGTGCGGCAGCCTGTAATCCCAGCACTTTGGGAGGCTGAGGCGGGAGGATTGCTTGAGCTGATTTCAAGACCCGCCTCGGCAACGTAGCAAGACCTACAAAAAAATTTTAAAATAGGTTGGCATGGTGGCATGTGCCTGTGTCCCAGCTACTTGAGAGGCTGAAGCAGAAGGATCGCCTGAGCCATGATCTTGCCACTGCACTCCAACCTGGGCAACAGAGTGAGACTCCAACTCGGAAATATAAAATAAATAAAAATTAACTATAAAACAGCCTCAGGCAGTTTCTTCAGGAGGTATTACCAAGGAAGGCATTGTCATCACAGAAGATGATGGCTACCTCCATGTTACCTTCTCCAAAGACCTTCCAGTGTGACAAAATGTGAAGGTCTATCAATAATGATATTGATAAAGTTGAACTTGCTTTTATATAATTATTCCCATTGTGGTTTTCTTTTGAAGGAATATCTCACCCAAGTCCTTTGAACACTGTTACTGAGAACTTTTTGTTACTGATAATATAGTTCATTAAATATTCTGAACATGCTCCTTTCAGTTGTATGAGTTGCAAATGTCTTCTTTCACTCTGAGGCTTGATTTTTATTTTTTAATTTTCCTTTAAAAAAATACTCCACTGGATAACTCTTATACAAGGCTTCATTTTTTTTTTCCAATGGCATATTTCTTTTTTTTGCATAGGAATCTCACTGTCTCCCAGGCTAGCATACAGTGGCACCCTCACGACCAAAGCAGCCTTGACCTGCTGGGCTCAGGCCATCCTTCCGCCTCAGCCTTCTAAGCAGCTGGAACCACAGCCATGCAACACCACGCCTGTCTAATTTTTTGATTTATTGTAGAGGTGAGGTCTCACCAAGTAGTCCTGGTCTCGAACCCCTGAGCTTAGGCAATCCTCTCGTCTCCACCTCCCAAAGTGCTGGAATTGCAGGCATGAGTCACCACACCTGGTTATTTGATGAATTCTTATTCTTAATGTGGTCAAATTTATGTTTTCCTTTTTGCTCTTCCATTCCTTGGTGCTCTAAATGTGTTGTTTAAGAACCATTTCCAATTCTGAAATCCTATATGTTGCTTTTCATATTTAGGTCTATAATATACCTGGAATTGAGTTTATATATAGCATGAGAAAGAACACCAATATGTTTTTATTGCATAAGAATACCCAATTGTCTCAGCAATAGTTTATTTTTTAAAATTCTGTCATTTTTGCATTACTCTGCAGTGCATACTTAGGATAGGTGTTCATATGTGTTCAGGTCTTTTGGAGTCTGTCTAGTCCTTGCTAATATCACACATTTTATTAAGTTTGGTATCTAGGAGAGCAAGTGCTTCCACCAAGTTTTTATGCAAGAGTGTCTTGGCTATTTTTTGTCTTCAGTGTTTTCATATAAATTTTAGAATTATTTTGACAGGTTTCTGGAAAAAAATAACAAATTTTTGAGATTTTGGTTAAAATTGCAAAGAAGTATAAATAAAAAATTTGCAGCAATTGATCTGTTTAAAATATTAACTCTTTCTATGCAAAAACATGGTCCTTGCTCTCTTTTTGTTTAGGTCCTCTTTAATGTCTTTCAGTAACATTTTATAATTTTAAAAATATTGATATGTGCATCTTTTGCTATATTTTTCCACAAGTGCTCGATAAATTTTAGTGTGGTTATAAATTGTATCATTTAAAAACATCTAATTTTTGACTGGGTCCAATAACTCACGCCTGTAATCCCAGCACTTTGGGAGGCTGAAGTGGGAGGATTGCTCTAGCCCAGGAATTTGAGATCAGTCTGGGTAACACAGAGATTCCATCTCTACAAAAAATGTAAAAAATTAGCTGGACGTAGTGGCACACTCCTGTAGTCCTAGCTACATGAGAATCTGAGGTGGAAGAACCACTTGAGCCCAGGAGTTTGAGGCTGCAGTGGGCTATGATTGCAGCCCTGCACTCCAGTCTGGGTTTTAGAGTGAGACCACATCTTTAAAAAATAAAAACGAATAAGGTAAAAAATAAAATTTTTGAACTATTTGTTGCTAGTATATAGATATTTAATTGTATTTTTTGATTTGATATCCAATAAACTTGCAAAACCTTCTTCTTAATGTAATAATTTATCAGTGGTTTTGCAGACAATATTATATGTAGACAATAAGTATAATCTACAAATATTCAATGTTTTGTTTCTCCCTTTCCAGTTTAAACCGTTCATTTCTTTTTCTTGCCAATTTGAACTGAGACTTCTAAGAATGTTGGAAAGAAGTGGGAGTCTTTTTTGAAATGCTTCACCAGTTGGATTTTACAGATGGCCTAAGTAAAATTAAGAAAGTTTCTTTTGGCTGGGCTCAGTGGCTCAGCCTGTAATCCCAGCACTCTAGGAGGCTGAAGCAAGTGGACTGTCTGAGCCTGCGGGTTCGGGACCCACCTGGGCAATGTGGTGAGACCTATCTCTACAATAAATTTTTTAAAAAATTAGCTGGGCATGGTAGTGTGTGCCTGTAGTTCCGGCTACTTGGAAGGCTGAGGCGGAAGGATCGCCGGAGCCCAGGAGGTTGACACTGGGGTGGCTGTGAGCATGCCACTACACTCCAGCCTGGGTGACAGAGTGAGACGCCAAATCAAAAAAAAAAAAAGAAAAGAAAAGAAAAAAAAGATTCTTTTTATTCCTGGTTTCAAAAGAATTTTAAAAATCATGAATATTAAATTTCATCAGCTATTTTCTGTCTGTATTGACATTATCATATGCTTTTTTTCTTTCAAGTTGCTAATGTGGTAAATTGGATTTTTAAATGTTAAATCAATCTTTATTTCTTGGTATGGTCCCAACTTCCTCATGATGTATTAGGCATTTTTGTTGTTATTGAATTTTACTACCTAATATTTTATTGAGGCTTTCTCTGTTTGCAAATAAGACTGGCTTATTATGTTTCTTTCTCATACTGTTGTACTCAGGTTTTGAATAAAGTGATGCTAGACTCATAAATGAGTTTTACAGTATTCCTACTTTTTGTGTTCTGTTTTCATACATGTGTGTTTGACATATACCACAAGTGAAGCCATATGGGTCTGGAATTATGAGGAGGGTTCACAAGAGATAGAGAAATTGAATTGGCTTTTCTGGGCCTGGAATTATGATTATTATTTTTTTTGAGTCAGGGTCTCACTGTCACCCATGCTGGAGCACGATCATGGCTCACCACAGCTTTAATCTCCTGGGCTCGGGCGATTTTTCCACCTCAGCCTCCTGAGTAGCTGGGACTGCATGCAAGAGCCGCCACCCCTGGCTAATTTTTTCATAAAC